AACCGAACAACCCAGCCCACTTTGAGCATCTCACGTATTGCCTTAATAATGTTTTCATGAAAACTCAAGCTATCCTCAACCCCCGTTACCATAGCTACGACACTACTTTTATCCACCTCCACGAACACTTGTCTCGCTCCCATATCCAAGCCAATCGAAAGCCATGGAAGAGACACCACAATTCCGCCCCAATAACGGTACATAAATCCACATTCATAAGAAAACCACCAAGTCAGTGACCATTTGAATCCCGCGCTAGACCTCATGCACTATCTCTGCCCGAAGCAGTACAGAAGGCACCATCTTTATTAACTTTACCCCATTCCGTCGGTGGAGGTAACCATCGGATCATAATCACCTCGTATCGGTGATCCAACATATCCAACGAGGTCTCGCAAGACCTGATGTACAAGTACCTCTCCACACGACTCCTAATATCCTGTAGTTGGGCCTCAAATGACACAAATTTATTCGCAAAGATGGTCGTATTTCTTCAATCTCCTGAATAACTATGTCAGTTGGTGAAAAGTAAAATAAGAAACACATTACAATATTTCATAAATTAAAAAATAATAAATTTAATGTAGTTTATAAATCATGTAAACTCCATAATAATAAATTTTAAAAAAAAAAGAACGAAATTTGTTATATGGAGTGTCAAGTATATCCGTTGACGTACTATTTTCAGCAGGCAGATAATGGAAACAAACGTATTAATAAATTATTTACAAGAAAAAAAAAAAAAAANNNAAAAAAAAAAAAAAAGGTGAGCAAAAAATCACTTGTGCCAGCGGCAAAAGCACACTCATTTCCCGCAATTTCACTTTTGGTACTGCGCACAAATTGGAAGAAAATTCGCCTGAAAACGATTCGATATCAGTTGAAGATAATCGAAAATGGACGACGACGGGATTCCGGAGAGAGAAAGGTTGCAGATCGAACAGATTATGGAGCTCGAAGACGAGGAATTAGAGGTCGAAGAGGTGGACGACGAGGAATCTTCGGATGATGAGTATGTGTTCAATTGATTATTGATTCTGGGTTTGCTTGTTTGTGTTTCGATTCTGCTGTCCTAACTTTTGTTTTTCGGGATTTGTTTGCTGTCTGCTTCCCCCAGTTTTGAAGAGCTTGGGGGTATTGATTAGTATTGTTGAATTGAGCAATGGGATGTGTATGTTTGGGGAGGAAAAGAAGCTTAAGTTTTGGGTTTGGGGTTTTTGGAAATCTGAAAGAGTTTGTTAGGCTTTGTTTGAGTTTTTTCAGTTTTGTGCTCCATCTATATGTTTGCTTTGTAAAATGTTTATTAGGTTTGTTTTTGTGTATGTATGCATGCAATTATGTGGGTAATCTGAAAATAGCCGTGGTTGGTTAAGAATCCCGGTTGCTCGTTAATCTAAGAATATGTGATTGTGCAGATAAAATGAATGCTTCTGTGGAGAATGTGTTGCTTGTGTATGCATGTGTTTGTAATATTGATATCTATACTTTCTTGCGGAAACAAGCAACTTGAAATTGGAACACAACATAGGCACAATTTATATGGTTTGTCGGTGCATTTGGAGTTGGAAAAATGATGGGACTTTTCTCAATTTTGTCGTGGGGTAGCTATTTCACATTGCTTGCCATGTTCATCTTTAGGATTTGTTACCAACAATTTTTCAATCAGTTTTCATCTAAGGTGCACCTTATTATAATATTGACTCGTCATGCAAATGAAGAAAATGTTCATTATGGCTATTTGTTGAACAATAATGAAGAATTGAAGCTGCTGTGCGGATTCTGATCTCAAAGTATAATGACACATCTCCTGTTATTTAATTAACTGAATTTTGATTATTTTTTGTTGGCTACGGTAGTAATCGTGGTTCAGCAGGAGCTTCTGTATCTGGTGATGTATATGACACTTCCTTGGTTGCCTTGCATTCATATCTCGGCGGTAGGTAGCTGTTTGCAGAATTTCATTTTCCTTTGTGTTATTATTCTTGAAAATTTTATTTGTGAGAAATATGAGATTGTTTAAATACTCATCTGTCACATCAGATGTTGAAGATACTCAGAATAGGATAGCATTTCTGGACGGTGGTGTTGTGCTGACGCTTCCTCTGTTTTGTCTGGAAGGTATCTGGCAAAAGTCCCAAGTGTCCTCGCAAATATTATGTTTTTTTATTAATTGGCTTTTCTGCATGTTTGAAACGATGGAGCAATCATGATTTGGAACGTCCACTGGTCTTAATTTCTAAATGATTTTCATTATTCATATTCTCCCTGGGATGACACAGTACCTAACAGCTTTACGTTGCAAGTCTTCTTTTGTCATTTGCACGTTCTTCAGTAGAAAAAATGATAAATTCCCTTTTTGTACTATTTGAGAAGTTTAGTGCTCTTTTAACCCAAAACTTGTGTACGCATTCTGATTATCTTGAGTAAAGGCTGTTAAGTTGATCTGATTTTGGATGTCAAGAGAACTAATGCATGAAGCAAATGGCTACTGCTCTTCAGATAAATAGTCATTACTTTGTTAACCAAGAATCATATTATAAGTTGTTTCACTAATTCTCTATACACTTTCCTAGGTCAAAGAAAAAAATAATAATGCAAACTTAGTGAGTTTCTTGTCAATGCATGCTCCACCGACTAATATGCAAATCTTCAAGCACAACTAGTATGTGTACTGGCTTCTGAAATATATATTTCGCCTTGTTTACCTCAGGGGTTGTGTTATTCCCCGACGCAACACTTCCTCTTAGAGTGGTTTTTCCTCATTTCATAGCTGGCATTGAGAGAGCTATGACACAAGTTGATGCTCCTTACACAATTGGTGTGGTATGCGCAATGTTAGTCATTGCTAAAATTCTTTCATCTACGTTACATGTGAACTTTAGAGTTGCTGTACTTGTATTGGTCGTGCTTTTCAGGTTCGTGTTTACAGGGATTCCAACACTGGCAGAATAAGGTTTTCAACAACTGGCACGACTGCTGAGGTACAAGGAGACTTTTAAGTGCTTCTTTGTTAACATTTGTTTTTGTTAAATCTCGCACATTCTGAAGTCATTGACGTCGTGCACTTTCTTAGAATTTTATAAGCATCGGGTTCTACATTTCTGACCTTAGGTTACACATCATCTTGAGTTTCCTTTCGAAAATGCAGCTTTTGCGCCCGAATTAAAACAGCAGTTTGGGAGTTTAGTAGCTACATGAGTACTTAAAAGCCATGAATTACATTGTTGTCGCTACACTCTTAAGATAACATAGCTTTACATGTGTCATTGTTATTAAGTTTTTATTTTTATTGTTGTAAGTTCAAAATCTCTTGATCTATGGAATCTTATAAAATATGCCAATTCTAGGTTATCCTTTTTTCTCTCCTTGCCTGACCATCGGTTTCCTAATTCTCCGAGGTCCGCTCTTTTAAACTGCGCACGTTCAGCTGTAGACAAAGTCTCTATTTAGTATGTTGAGTTGCAGTGGCACACGTTGACAAACAATATATCTTACCTCACATACGAGCAGAATACCAGAAGTTGAAGTGTACTTTTATTGTATTTTCTCAAAAAATAAAAAGAAAAAAAAAAATTGTTTTACTCTCTTTTTGCAGATTCGGCAATACAGGAAACAGCAAGATGGCACTGTAAATATTGTCACCAGAGGAAAGCAGCGTTTTCGGCTGAGGCGCCGTTGGGTTGATGTGGAAGGATCAGTAAGCACTGTACCGAATCAGATATTCAAGTCACGCTTTGCTTCATTTTTGTACTCTTAACTCTGTATTGCCGTCTTACATAATAGCTATGTGGGGAGGTCCATATCATTCAAGAAGATGTTCCTCTAAGAACACCACGAGAAGCTGTTGGTAAACTGGCTCCATTAAGAAACACCAAAGCAAGAAGTCACCTGCAAGTGACCCCTTCTACTGGTTCTCAGCATGCCCGTCTGGGCTATGAGGAAGGAAATGATTCTGATGGGAGTTTTGAAAGTGAACTTTCATCAGCAGAAAGAGGGCTTCACCGCTACGCTCTTGTCTCTTCTCATGGTCTGGATGCGTACGATGGGACAATGAGTAGTGACGATGAGAAAAGTGACTGTCACTTTGAGTTGCAACTGGAAGGATCTCCATTGGCCAGCTATACAAGGTCAATTCAGTTTGAGCATGAAAAACAGGATGCGAATGAGAGTCATAGGAGTGGGAAGAGCCCCTTTTTTGTGCAGCATAGCCACAGGTTAGGAAGGGGAAAGTGCTCTGTGGCCCACCTTCGCGATGCTCCTAGAGCCTTTTGGCCCAGTTGGGTCTACCGCATGTACGATTCTTATTTACTTGCTCGGAGGGTGGCAGGTATATTGGTTCTTTTTTCCTGTTAGTGTAATTGCCAGCTCTCCTTTTGCTTCAGAGAAAAGTATTCAAATTGCAAGTCTGAGCATTTTTTTTTTTTTTT